TGAACTGAAATTCAACATGGCGACGACATGCTTAACGAACCTCGCGTTACGTCTGGGTAACGCATGATCAAGGTCATTGTGCTACGTGAACCGCTTCGATGTTTCGGCCACTGCGGGCGATTAGCCGTTGTGCTCCGCGGGGTGAGTTTTACCCCACTAATCTGATGACTTCTTCCAGTTCACTCCACCTTTATCAAGGCGGCTGTTGTAGTTAGTCAGCCGGCCGCTTGCCATTCGACAAATCCGAAATATTTCAATGCGCGAGAGCCTTACGAAGAATTTAGAACTCGGTTCTTGAATGCATTTAATGATAAAACGCTTGATTCATGGTGGCTTCGACACTGGCTTCAAAATTTGAATTTAGAGGACTGTATCCCCGCCCCGGAGATTGTTGCCAGCGCCCTTCATGCCTGTCGGAGACAAAACGATCTGGCTCTTGCTATTCGATTCATGGAAACGATTAGAGTAGGAAATTTACCTGTTCTTTTTATTCTCTACTCTATTTTAGATGAAATGTCTGCAAGTCAAGGGAGCTTGGGATTGGATGCAAAAGGAAATTGCTCCGACATTAAAAGAGCTGGGAATTCCTACGCTTGCAGAACTTGGGTACGAAAAACCGGAACTCGCATGGCATCATCATGACGATGATTAAAGAACGTATTAACATAAATCTAGCTCTCCCGCTCTATTCGCTCAGGCCCAATGTACCTTAGTTCGTTTGGGTAATGAAAAATCTTTTAAAACGACGTTTTCAGTTTGTTTTCGCCTATCTGCACCGCGTAGCGCACACTTTATCGGTATTATCTGCGATCAGAGAAGAGTCTAATCGGGCGTGTTCTCGCAATGTTTGCGTCTCATTTTCGTTCGCTGACAACTCACTGTTTTCCCGAAGCAGTAACAGTGCTTCGGGTCCGTTTACTCATCCAACTGATCCTTTGGGTATTTAGTGTTTCTTCGGTATTGAGTGCAGAGGGCAGGGTACCCGTTTAGGCCCCGTCACCACTGGGTCGAAGGTCCGATCACATGTAGTCCTTCCTCCTTAGCCCCTTAAGGTGCACATCCGAGCGCAATTTAAAGGCAGCGCTGGTCTGTCCACCACAGTCGCTGTAAGGGTATTCCAGAGCGTTGTCAAACTCCGAGAGTTAGTAGACTGACGGAAGACCA